GTTATTACTTTATTGTAGACTGGGATCACACATTATATTGTACTAAGCTATGGATTTGTTAATCATGATTTCTAAATATGTGTGCATTTACTGTGGCAACATTATGCTGTTTATTTTATAAACAACACAAATATAGCTCGTTATTACTTTATTGTAGACATGGATCACACATTATATTGTACTAAGCTATGGATTTGTTAATCATGATTTCTTGAGTAAGCCACAATTGATTGCAATATGTTAAGCTCTAAACAAACTACATTATAGTAGTTCGGTATCATAGCGCCCATCAGAATGGGAATAATAATATGCGGAAAAAAATTAAAAAGTGCATTAGAGGTGTTTTGGCACATGCACAGAAGATGGGTAATCTCGCTGCCACATAAAATCTCTGTCATGTATCTTCAGGCCATATTCTACCACTACAGAACACTACAAGCAGAAATAGATCAGAATCTGATCAAATATATAAGTTATTTGAACTACATTGGTAAGGGTCTTTAAAAGTCTGTCCTAAAAGTTAAGCAAATTAATAAAAAGTAAGCAAATAAAAATTGCAAGATAGATGACATGTTCTGCCATGGTTGATCTGGTCATAATTCATCTCCTTCTGCCTAGTGATTTTTACCTGTACAATATTAATATTAAATTGCCTTTGGTCAGGTTCTTTGTAATTCTGCTGATCAGTTTTACCATCCGGTATGAGAATCCTTATTTATGGTAACTCAGGTGTAGATTTCTATTTGTATTGGCTCTGTTCCTCTAGCACTGTGTTGCTACTAATTCTTTTGGTAACCTCAAGATTAAAATAAAAAATAATTGCTAGCCAACTTAGCAACTTAGATCCTCTTAGAAGGATCTAAGATAGTGGATTTCTTTAACCTTAGTTCTTTCTCTTAAGGTTAACTCTGATAAGCTTTGATAGAATGTATAAAAACATTAAGAAGTCCAACAATGTTAGTGCAGCTCTCTGCTCACCTCTTAGATGGTAATATGTGTTTTAATGCATTTCCAACAGACAACATGGGCATTGCCCAGTTGCAATCAAGTTTTGTTCCCCGGTAACCAACTCAGCTAAATAATATGAGAAGGGGGGAAAAGGGGTGGGGAGAGAATTGTGGATATCAGTGGTAAACAAACTTTGATTTCACTTCATATATAAGACATTTGAAATAATCAAAATCCCAGTTCCTGCTCGCTAAAATGTGTAGAGTTTGGCCTTTACATTTACTTATATGGGATCAATGTCAATGATTCTTGTTTTTTTTTTTTTTAAAGGAACAAATAGTAATGTCTAAATTACTTTGAAACAGGACCTTTTGGTAGAGGTAATGGAGAATTGCTTGAAGTATGGTTCAGTATGCATTCAGTACTTGAATGATCAGATGGAGCAATATTATTCATGTTGAATACAACTAATTAGTTAGAATATAAGTCCAAGAAGTAATTCATTTATTTGGAGAAAAATAATGGAAGAAAAAATCATTGACATAGCGTGCAATGAGAAGGGAAAGCTCATATGAACATTCAGCTTCCAGTCTTCTCATCTTAGAAAGCCCATCCTCTGAAACCTCCAGACATTGAATTAAGGGTATCTACCTAGCAAAAAATTTGATGCCTGCATGTGCACTCCATTAGTGCTGTCCAATATGATTAATATAAGAGCAAGATGCTGAAGTTGCTAGAGTTTTATGGAAATGTTCACTCACCTAGTTTGCTTATGTTCTATATATTTATCCACTTACACATGTGATTTTTCTCTAGGAGTAGGATTACTGTAACCTTTAAATTGCTTACTTTGATAATATAAAGGCTCAGTTTACTTGCTTTTATTATCTTACTCCCACCTGTGCATGCAGTCAATCAGTAGGTAAGGTCACTTTCCTCGTGAAAAGTTTATAGAACTGCAAAGCTATGGGCTGTATTCTTGGTTTTCTGACAAAAACTATTCTATGAACTCTGGCCATCTCTTATCTTCTCTGTGATCTTCCTTTCTCACTTTCATCTTTGTCTTATTTTATCTATCCAGCACTCCACTGCCATCATCATCTAATTCATTTCTCAAACTGATCATGTGAAATCCTTGTTATTTATTAAACTTTTTCAAATTAGAGTACCATATTCTGAACTGAAACATGCTATAAAATTGTGTGTTCTAATTTGGAACACATGCCATCTCAAAGAAGTTTGGAGATATTAGAAAGACCAATACTTTCTGCATGCTTAAATATACTTATTTATTAGTTGTATTTATTAATCATCCTTCCAGAAGATGTTCAGAGCAATGTAGAAGAGAGCTGGAAAATATCCTAGAATTGAATAGCAATAAATCTGTTCTGCTTAACTTTCAATCACTTAAGAGCTGTTAGTTCTACTATGTGGTGTGAATCAGGTCTAACATACAGAAAGTAAAATCCCCTCAATTTTGATTTCTCTCTACCTTTAGGATTTATTGCAAAATCTGTTTCTTTTGTTTTCCCACAAAGGAATAATCATTTGATGCCAACTCCCCTTAATTAAGCCAAGGATGCATATAATTATCAAAATCTGAACTGTACATATTATTTTTGTTCTAGAGAGCAACATTTAGGAATTTGGAACTTTTTATGATGACCAGTTTTACAAGCATTAAAATAGTTAGTGATATGTATTAAGAAGATACAGAGCATTGATATTACTTCTATAGGAAATATTTTAGTAAGTGTATAATGTAGCAGATAGACAGACATGAACTTAGCCTGTGCATCATATCAGACAGAAGTAAGAATAGACTTTCTAGTCATAAAATGTACTTATCAGTCTAATTAACAGTGGTGAAAGCCTTGAAAATACAATATCCATGCTAATCCAGCCTCTATTTTTTTGTAAATGAGAAATTTAAAAAAATAAAAACAGGTCAGTAACATAAAGATTGCCTTCAACACTTCAAAAGATGATATTTAAGAACTTGAGTAAACTGAATTAATTCAACAGAGATAGTAAGGAAAGCTAAGCCACATATTTTATTGGCAGAGTAGAATACCCTTGAATTCAAGATTCAGTTGAATTCCTCTTTGATAAAAAAAAATGAAGGGTGAGATGGAAGCCGTTGGTTAAAAGTAAATCTGTTCAATGTCTTTCACTTAACAGTGAAAGTGTTCTGATTCTCCCAAGCCTATTGTTCCAAAAAGGAACAAAGACTGCAATCATAAGTGTGTAGACACACTAGATAGTCTTGTTGAAGTCATTGAATCTTATTTTACAATAGACATAAATTGCCAAGAGAAATATAGTATTCTCCAGTAGGGAAAAACTAGATTTGAGAAACTTTTCCCCAAACTGAAAGCTCTTTCTAACAGCTGAGATAAAATTTGCTGATCCTATTGCTAGTCCCTGTTCTACTATAACACTGTTTCTCAACCTTGGCAACTTTAAGATGTATGGACTTTAACACCACCAGAATTCCCCAGCCAGTTGAAATCCACACATCTTGAACTTGCCAAGGTTGAGATACTGTACATTGTGCTATAATTACAAAACTGGTGAATGGTGCTATGTTACTCGGTTATTGTGAGCCAAGCTGAGGAAAGGGATTGGTGGATTCCCTAGCTTTAGTTTCCTCCCCATCCTGCCAGTGTGAAAACAATAATCACTGTTTTGATGTGGGATGAAGTTAGTTGGATGCTTAGAATGGCAGGTTTAGCCCCCTGTCAAATTGCCCAACAAGCGGCAAGCACTAAGAGGGTGTGTGGGGTACAGCAGGAGTGAGCTGTTTGCACCCCATTCTCTGCACCTGCTACCTGTCTGAACATGGGCATACTGCTCTTCTGCAATGTTGTTAAATGTAGATTCAGAAATAGCCCCGCTGACAGGTAACAGGTACAGGAGGTGTAAGTGAAGTGGAATGGATCTCTCTCAGTATTTCTGCTTGGTGCAGTTCCTCCTCTGTGCCTGTTACCTTGTCAATCAAGGTGTTTCTGAATACAGGTATGTGCTCTTTCAGCCCACTGGCACTTTCCATAGCAATAGTGTCATTTTTTATGGCCTTATGGGTTTAGTGCTCCTTTGAAAGAGTTTGCTTACATCCTTTTAGGGCCTTTTTCTGATCTATTGTATTCCTGCATGTTTCTTTAGTTCACATTACTTTAACTTATGAGATTCCAAGATGGGGTTTGGGAAGAGTGGCAAATAAACCAATCTAGAAAAATCAGAATCCTGAAAACAAACACT